CCCCAAAACCCCAAAACCCCAAAACCCCAAAACCCCTAAGAAAATATTAAAGATTGAAAATATTTCAAATATCAGTTCATAAATGGAAGACAAAGCCCAAATAGTCACTATGGACATGTTTAAGGGTATCTAATGTTCAACTACTTTCATAGCCTTAGAGAGGAAGTTCAGATTAATGTCTGAAGAAATTAAAAATTTGAAGAAAGAAGTAGCAGACCTTAAATAAAGAAAACAAACAGTTAAAGAAATCGAGCAATAAAAACCAGCCTCAAGAAGAAGTCGAGCTGAATAGGTAAATCTAAAGCTGATTCTTAGAAAGCTGAGGGAAGTTCCAGAGAAGACTTCAAGACGTCCAAGTGATCTCAAGGAAGTTCGGACAAATTTTAAAGTGGCTTGTGGAAAATCAAATAGATATCTCGGAAGGGCAAATTTGCCAGCCAAGGCATATCACAGTGATTGTAACTTTGTACATGGTATGTCTTAGAAGGTAATTTTTAGAGAGAAGAAAAAGGAAGGTAATATTTTGGAATTCCTATTTTTGGAAGTGTTAAATTTATGATAGTTGGAAAACAAAGAAAATTCAAACTTTGAGGTTAATTCAGATAAAAAGACACCAGGAAACTTAAGTAATACGAATCGTTTTAGTTTAATTATTTGCTGATTATATATTGTAGAAAAAGAAAGACATTCTGTTGTGAGCATTCCCCAAAAATCTCAATTTTCATTAAAATAAGCATCTTGGAAAATCAAGAGGAAGTTTTAGCAGAATTAATTCTTTAAAATAAACTAAACAACACCGGTATTTCTATTCATAATTTTTAGAAACATCTGACTACCACAGCAACACCCAAAAAGGTACCAACCTCCTAAAAAAATTAGAAAAATCCACTACCTCCAGAAAACCCCAAAAACCTAAATTCCACCACATAAAGTCCAGAATAAACACCCATTTACCTCCTTCCGTCCCCTCAAAACCCATTCTGAACCCTGAAGAGCACAAAGACCCCACTTCTTCGCTCAAAAACAACCGCTCAGGCTACATCCTTCCTCACTCTGCTGTCTAAACCCCCAAACTCCTTCTTCTAAGCCACTGGCAAGGATGCCAGTAGAGGTCTTCTCTTAATAAATTCTAGTAGGGTTTTTGGGAATTTGGGAAATGGAGATTAAAGGGGTGGATAAGTGGGATTTTAGGAATTTCAATAGGAGAAATGGGATTTGGGGTTTTGGGGTTTTGGGGTTTTGGGG